TACCACCTCTATCTTTTTGTCCTCTTACCTTGTATTATCCACTCTCCTTGTATTTCCTCTTCTTCATAAAGTACAATCATTCCTCAAAATAACTAAGAGCAAAACAAGTAAAAACCTGGTGGGTATCTAGACAGCAACTGTATCTGTTAGTGTGCCTGCCTAACCTGTAAGGACAGGGATTTTTATCATCTGGATTAATTTACAAAACGATGAACCTTCCATGGTAGTGATTTCTTACTCCATCAGAATAGAATATTGCTTCCAAATATCATAGAATCATAGAATATTTAGGGTTGGAAAGGACCTTAAGATCATCTAGCTCCAACCCCCCTGCCATGGGCAGGGACACCTCACACTAAACCATATCACCCAAGGCCTCATCCAACCTGGCCTTGAACACTGCCAGGGATGGAGCATTCACAACCTCCCTGGGCAACCTGTCCCAGTGCCTCACCACCCTAACAGGAAAGAACTTCCTCCTTATATCCAATCTAAACTTCCCCTGTTTAAGTTTTAACCTGTTACCTCTTGTCCTATCACTACAGTCCCTAAATGAAGAGTCCATCCCCAGAATCCCTATAGGCCCCCTTCAGATATGGGAAGGCTGCTATGAGGTCTCCATGCAGCCTTCTCTTCCAGGCTGAACAGCCCTAACTTCCTCAGCCTGTCTTCATACAGGAGGTGCTCCAGTCCCCTGATCATCCTCGTGGCCCTCCTCTGGACTTGTTCCAACAGTTCCATGTCCTTTTTATGTTGAGGACATCAGAACCGCACACAATACTCCAGGTGACGTCTCACAAGAGCAGAGTAAAGGGGCAGGATCACCTCCTTCCACCTGCTGGTCATGCTCCTTTTGATGCAGACCAGGATACGGTTGGCTTTCTGGGCTGTGAGCGCACACTGCCAGCTCATGTTCATTTTCTCATCAACCAACACCCCCAAGTCCTTTTCCGCAGGGCTGCTCTGAATCTCTGCCCAGCCTGTAGCTGTGCCTGGGATTGTTCCGACCCATGTGTAGGACCTTGCTGCACTTGGCTTGCTTAAACTTCATGAGGTTGGCATCAGCCCACCTCACAAGCATGTCAAGGTCCCTCTGGATGGCATTCCTTCCCTCCAACGTATCAACCGAACCACACAGCTTGGTGTCATCGGCAAACTTGCTGAGGGCGCACTCAATCCCACTGCCCATGTCAGCAACAAAGACGTTGAACAAGACCAGTCCCAACACTGATCTCTGAGGGACATCACTCGTTACTGGTCTCCAGCTGGACATTGAGCCATTGACCACAACTCTTTGTGTGCGCCCATCCAGCCAGTTCTTTATCCACTGAGTGGGTCCATCCATCAAATTGATGTCCCTCCGATTTAGAGACAAGGATGTCGTGTGGGACAGTGTCGAACGCTTTGCACAAGTCCAGGTAGATGACCTCAACTGCTCTGCCCCTGTCCATCAGTTCTGTAGCCCCATCGCAGAAGGCCACCAAATTGGCCAGGCAGGATTTCCCCTTAGTGAAGCCATGCTGGCTGTCACCAAGCACCTTGTTGTTTTTCATGTGCCTTAGCATGCCTTCCAGGAGAATCTGCTCCAAGATTTTGCCAGGCACAGAGGTGAGACTGACTGGTCTGTAGTTCCCCGGGTCATCCATTTTCCTCTTCTTGAAAATGGGGGTTATATTTCTCTTTTTCCAGTTGTCGGGAACTTCACCTGACTGCCATGATTTTTCAAATATGATGGACAGTGGCTTAGCAACTTCATTTGCCAGCTCCTTCAGGACCTGCGGATGGATTTCATCAGGTCCCATGGACTTGTGCACGTTCGGATTTTTAAGATGGTCTCAAACCAGATCCTCTCCTACAGTGGGCCCAAGGTCTTCATTCTTACAGTCCCTGCATCTGCCTTCCAAGACTTGGGTGGTTTGGTCAGAGCATTTGCCAGTGAAGACTGAGGCAAAGAAGTCATTCAGAACCTCAGCCTTCTCCAAATCCCGTGTAGCCAGTTCTCCCGAGAGCTTCCAGAGGGGGCCTACGTTCTCCCTTGTCTGTTTTTTATTTGCTATGTACCTCTAGAATCCCTTCCTGTTATCTTTCACATCCCTAGCCAAGTTTAATTCTAAGTGGGCCTTAGCTTTCCTGACCTGGTCCCTAGCTTCCCAGACAATATCCCTGTACTCTTCCCAGGCCGCCTGTCCTTGCTTCCACTTATTATAAGCCTCTGTTTTCCCTCTAAGCTTCCTCAGCAGCTCCTTATCCATCCAAGGAGGTCTCCTGGCCCTCCTGCTGCACTTCCTTCTAGTTGAGATGCAACACGCCTGAGCTCGTAGCAGGTGGTCTTTGAATATCAACCAACAGTCTTGGGTTCCCATTGCCCTCTAGGGCTATATCCCATGGAACCTTACTAAGCAGGTTCCTGAAGAGGCCAAAGTCTGCTCTCTTGAAGTCCAGGGCACTGAGCTTGCGGCACACTCTTCTCACTATCCTGAGGATCTCAAATTCGACTATCTCATGATCGCTGCAACCAAGGCTGCCCTGGAGCATCACATTTCCAATGAGCCCTTCCCTGTTGGTGAGCACGAGGTCAAGCATGGCGCCTCTCCTTGTCGGCTCCTCTATTACTTGCAGAAGGAAGTTGTCTTCTACACAATAGAGGAACCTCCTGGATTGTTTGTGCTGGGCCGTACCGCCCTTCCAACAGATGTCAGGGTGGTTGAAGTCACCCATGAGAACAAGGGCCTGTGAGCGTGAGGCTTTTCCTATCTGTCTATGGATTGCTTCATCTGCAGGTTCTCCTTGATCAGGTGGTCTGCAACAGATCCCCACAGTAATGTCTCCCATAGCTATATTCCCTTTAACCTTGACCCACAAACTCTCTGTGGACTGCTCACCTGTCCCCATACTCTCCAGCCTGTCCCTAACATAAAGGGTAACTCCCCCTCCCCACCTTCCGGGCCTGTCTTTTCTAAAGAGCCTGTAACCTTCCATTCCAACACTCCAGTCATAGGATCCATCCCACCATGTTTCTGTGATGCCTATTATATCATACCCCCGTAGACATGCACACATCTCTAATTCCTCTTGTTTGTTCCCCATGCTATGGGCATTTGTATAGAGGCACCTGAGCTGAGCTCCAAATGAAGCCGGCTCATTGGCTGGAGCGGCTGGGATATCTCTACATTGCTCCGAGCATTTATTATAGGTGCTGGCAACTGACTGGGTGTGTTGGGATGGAATGATGCCCCCTTCCCCCAACACATCTAGTTTAAAGCTTCCTTGACCAGTCTGGCAAGCCTCCTATCGAAACTGCTCTTCCCCTTATTTTATCAGACCAGCTCCACCAGCCCCCACTAGACCTGGCCTACAAACTTGGGTCCTGTGTTCAAGACACCCAAACCCCTGACTATGGCACCACCCTTTTAACTATTTATTAACCTGGCCAATCCTCCTAGCTTTTTTTAGGTCCTCCCCTGTATCCTGGAGAATTGATGAAAAGACTGTCTGAGCTCCAGAGCCCCTAACCACCTCCCCCAGGGCTCTGTAGTCCTTCTTTATGTTCCCCAGGCTACTACTATCTATATCTCTAGCACCCACATGTATCACCAGGAGTGGGTAATAGTCCGTGGGACTTACTAGAGCAGGCAGCCTCTCTGCCACATCCCTGATCTGTGCCCCTGGATCACCTCCCTTGAGACTGGGTCAGGCCGACAGACGAGTGCTTCTGTCCCTTTCAAAGCAGAGTCCCCTACTACTATGACCCGCTGCTTTTTCCTGGCAGCACCAATTCTTTACCAGTGCATCAGCCGGCTGTTCATGGTGCGAGGGTGTTTCCTCATTCGCCCCCTGCAGGACAGCAAAGCGGTTCTGCATGGGGACAACAGATTTAGGAGGAGCCCCTTGCTTTTGATTGTCCTTTTCCTCCTTTTTTTTTTTTTTTTGGTTTTTTTTTTTTTTTTTTTTACTAATTCCCAGCTTCCCGGGTTAACGGCCTCCCTCTTTCCTTCATGAGCTAGAGGGGAAGCTTGAGGCCCCTGCACAGTTTGGGCCTGGAGCAAGCAGTGCTGCTTCCTCTCAGCTTCCCTGACACCTTTCAGCCTATTGACAGCGTCCCGCAGCTCAGCCCCTGCTGCAGCAGGACCTCCACCAGGGAGCACCGAGTGCAGCCCTGCCCACTGTGCACCCTCCCCTCACCAGACCAGTGCAGGCACTCTCTCCAGCCCGAGCTCTGCGCTGCAGCCTCCCCTCTCATCGGCTCTGTCTGGTGCCGACGCTGCCACCGCCGGGGCAGCCAGAGCAGAGCTCCCGGACCGGGCCCTGGTCATACGACGAGTGCTCACCATCCCGCTCGCCTGCCCGCGCAAACTGCCCACAGCGCTCCTGGTCACTCGTGCTCCCTGGGGCAGGTTTTTACCCAGTCAGAGCTGGTGCCGCTGCTCCTGGCAGGGTATTTCATAAGGTATCACCATCTTTACACCGTTAAGCAACTTGGTCCTGTGAGTCAGCTGCTCGCCTCAGCTGAGCTGCCGGCTCCTGGGCAGGTCCTGTCGAGGACTTGAGGCTCCCTCGGTGGCTCTTGTTGCTCTGAGTTGAGGCTCCTGGACGCTGACCTCCCCCCCCCGCTCCCGTATTGAAGGCGTCCTTTCTCGAGCTACTCACCTCATCAACTTACCACAGAGCAGCTGTTTATATGAGTCAGTTATAATAAAATATAATATCTACATCTTTCTTTCAAGGATTAACTACTTGCAAGAATTCTTGACAAATTGCAGCTTAGAGTCGTGGAAGTTTCATATGCATTTTACAGGCTGCAAAACAGACAAAAGTGATTTTACGCATTACTGTCTAGTGATTTAGTGTCTGAATTGACATGCAGATGACATTTGTTCTGTTATCTACCAGTAGTATAATAAATCCAAAACTTGGTGCCTTTCAAGTGCCCAGTACTGCAGGATCAGTACCTCAAAGCCTGAAGAGAGATGTCTACTGTTTTACAGACTCCATGCACACTGTTGTAACCTGAAGGTGCATTTTTTAATGAATAATCTCATTCATACAAATCTAAGCAGGATCCAAGGTGCCACATCACATGCTGCCAAGAGCCATGCATCAATTACACAAAACAAAAGATTCAAATGCCCCCTTTACCTCTTCTTACTTTTATCCTTGCCAGCTGAATACTCTGCTTAGCTCTTGTGTAAAGGTCTGAGCGGAGAACAGTGCTCATGCCACCTTCCCTCTGCTTAAGCAGTCTGCTGTGTACACATGCTTGGAATATACTTACTCAGATGACAGACTCTGGACTAAGGACCAAGTTGCTTAACAGTGTAAAGATGGTGATACCTTATGAAAGACCTTGAATATAATTTTAGGATTCCAGGATTTCAAACTGTCACACAATGAGGAACTTCTGGATTTATAAAGTAATTGAGAAGAGCACTTAAAGATCACAATTTTAGATTTATGTACTGAGAGTAAGTATTACCTGGAAAATAAAACATAAAGCCCAGTTTACAAATCAAACCTTCACGCTTTCAAGATCCAATGAGCTTCAGTCAAGTTTTTAGTTCCTAATGCTGAAAAAGAATATTGGAAAATAGGACCAAGCCTCTTTTGTAACTTTGAACACTTTACACAAACTGCTATATGAACTTTTTATATAAAGGGGTTTTGTTTGGTTGGGTTGGTTGTTTTCTTCAGAATCCTACTTGAACCCTGATCCTTCATCATGCTTCTGCTGGAGTTGAAGGTTTGTTTTGTTTTGTTTTCTTAATTGTTTTTAGATTAAAAACTAAGATTGCAAATGCAGAGATTGAATAAATAGGCACCAGTTCATACAATGCCATTATGCTTGTCTATTATATAACAGTAGAGTCAAAGTTTTGCGAGAAAATCTCATCCTTATAATTGGTTTATTTATTAATTACTATAAAGGCCCTAACATAGATAACTGCTGTCTACAAAGAGCAGTCCTGTGGGTTCAGGTAACAGCAAATTCCCCAAAACTCTACTCAGTTGTTGCTGTCACAAAGAACTATAAGGTGGAGCTGAGTCACATAAACTATTGTTCTATTAATTTTAAATTACTTAAAAATTTAGACAAAATGTTGTGTGAAAGTCAACTACTGAAGACAAGCAGAAGTTTACATGTTCCAAGCACAGTCCTCTTTCCATTCTTGAGCAATATATATTTGGGTATAACCACTTAGTAATCAGTAGGTAACTAGCATAGAAACTCCACCAAAATTGACAATATTGTAATTGTCTTTATTTATTTACCTCCATTCTGTTCTAATATAGGTTATGGTAAATATGCCAGCTCTGCAATCCAATTAGCGCCATCAACACTGCACAGTAACACAACCTGGTAATTCATTCCTCCTTGGAGGTATTTTGTGGACAAAACCTTGAATTTTACTGGAATCATTGCAAAACTATTAAACACTCATTTGTAATATTATAATTTTAACACTTGTTCAGCATTGAGAAAGTCATAACTCATTGAGTCAACAGCTTCAGTCTTGCACCTCAGAGTCCAGTATTTGGCCAAAGATGATAGGTTTGGGCATGGCATATTTGTTTCACGTATAGTAAGCATATTTCTGATTATCTAGAATATGCAAACAGAAATTTATGAATAGTTGATACATTTCAGTTAAGGAAACATGCAAACCAGACTGAATTATATAAAGTAACAGGGTAGTGAAATGGAGTACTCAAAAGAACATTTCCACTTGTTATATACAGTTTGGAACAAGAGCGAACAGCTGTAGAACCCCATGAAAACAATTCAGTAGAACAAGATATATGAAAAATAGTGTTAAACTGCTTCTACACAACTCTAAATCAAGCTTTGAATGGAGCGTGCTCCTAACAGTTCCACAAACCAATATTTGTGCTCAATTACCATTTTGATTTTGCTTATGAGCAAAATTTCTGTCATTTTGTCTCTGAGGCCACTATCCAGCTAGGGCAGTAGCCGAAGGTACCCATGTAATTTTCTCAGTTCAGGAGAAAGGAGGACAATCTGACTTGGAAAAGACTGTAATGCTACCATTCACTAACCCGTGGGAAAGCTTTATGAGACATAGAGATTTATTGATACCAGAAATATCAAAAGGTTTAATTATCAAAAGATTTCTAAGGTTAAAGGCACTATTAACATCTGCTCTTCTACAACACTGAGGAGCCTCCATCCCTTTATTCCCTTTACCTCTCCCCCTTTAAATTTTGTAATTTACAGAAAACTGACTTCTGGATATCCTTTGCCAAAAGAAAGAGGTATGTCTGGTGGAATCTATGGAATTTACATTATAATGGCAGTAGGAGGAGGAAATTTGAGTTTGCTGTACAGTTACAAGAATGATGTAGCTGTCAGAGCTCTGACTGCCTCTTGCCTTTCCAGAGGGCCTGGCTGCTTGGGCTCAGGACCAGTTTTGACAGTGCAGCTGTGGAGCCTTGAAAGAGAGCTGTGAGAAGACTGAGCAGATTCCTGCCAGATTCTCCTTTGCCCAAGAGATGCCTTCAAGCTTAGGTCTTGCCCTTGCTCTCTTGGCTGAGCTATGCTGCCAATATGACCTGCATCCAGCTTCCCACCTCCTGATTCTGACCCAGATCCTGTAAAATCAAGTTCCCAGTTTGACCTTGGACCTGCCAGAGAAGCCATAATGAGGAGCCAGTCTGGACTTACCCTGGCTACCATCACCATCAGTCACTGTCATCTGCTCTGCTTTTCCTATGTGGGTACCATGGAACTAGATCTGCTGCAGTGGTCTAACTGCCCTGGCCTTGCTCACTTTCACTTCCAGCCCCATCCACCTTCCCTTTACAGAGCATCCAGCCCTTGCTGCTGGGTGCAAGGGCAGCATCCATGTGTGCACTCAGCACACCTCATCAGCAATCCCCCCATCAAGCTGAGAATTTCCCAGCTACTTTCTGCAAATATGAGATAATGGACTGACTTTCAGCAGAATAACTGAACTCCCAATTGACTCAACTCTTGGTCTGCTTAAAAATGAAGGACTAACACAGGAGCTAAGGGGGAGTTATGGGGTAGATCCTTGGAGATTCCCCTAGGCAGGACAGCTGTGCTTAGACCAACTGAAAGATGTTACCTGATCAGAGGTACTGGCTAACTTCTTCCACTAACTATACAGTCAGTCCAGACAGCTTCCCCAGGCAGTTTGTGCTGCAGATGTAGGAACAGACCAACCTGTACATAAATCAGTAGATTGAAATAGTCTCTAAAAACTGTCTATGCATATACAGGAAGGACAGGGTACACAGAACAATCTTTGCCTACAGTTAAAATAGCTTAGATATATTCTGTGCACAGTTTAAGATAATTGATAGAAAATGCTGATGTACATGCTGGAGTAGTTGCTAGGGTCAGCTGGATGATAACAGTCCCATGATTCCCATTTGATCCAGCTGAAGATGCCATCACAACAATGATTGCAATGGAAACTCCTGGCACCATCTGGACAGCAACTGGTCTTCCTGTTGAAAACACTTAATTCCCCATGACTATTACTCTGTTTTAATCTGACAGCCTGTCACTAGCTGTGCAAAGTATCCTGTCAATATATCCAGTGAGCATGTTCAAAACTGGTGTAGCACAGTACAGGTCAAGGCTTACTAGCAATCTGGAAAAGTTACCTGACACAGGTCCTATAACAGCTTTTTTGGAAACTTTATTGTCTATTTAAGTTTTGTGATGTATAACTTGATAGAATTTCATCATCACCTCTTGTAGTGCCACCTCGCCAGCTCCTTCATCCAGTGCATTCTTTACCTAGAGTAAAATACCTTCTGCTTTACCCACCTTTAAACCAAGAGATTATCAAACTGAAAGCTATTGCAAAGTTGCAGAAACAGCACAAAGCAATAAATGCAGAAAATGGACATTTAATTACACACTGAAATAAAATTTTAGCTCTTGTTAGTGCAATATCCAAAAAATATTTTCTTGCAGCTATTTAAAAGTTGGATATTACTCTGCCCTTATGCTGGGCTACTTGCAAAGTACATTAAGCAGTAAAATAAAAAGGAATATGAATCAGATTGAAAGAAAATGTTCCTTAACATCTTGTCAATTTATGTTATCAGCTTTAATGCATTGATGAAAGAGCGGAAAGTAGGGGATAAATTTCTAACTAAATATCTAACTGCACTAGTTCACCCTAAAATATATAAAGCAGACTAGAAGTCCTGTTTGTAAAGTGCAGCCTACAGATGAATTGAAAGTAATTCTAGACAGTTCATCCAGACAGACAGGATATAGATTTGCTTCTGTCTTTATGTTCCCTCTCAACTGGAAATTTTTACAGAATACTCTGTATTATTTTCTCCTCCCGAGGCAGGAAGAAAAAGGCAAAATGCTTTTTACTTTACATGAACCACAGGCAACAGCTAGTAAAATGCTGACATTAGAGGCTGCATGGCAATGTTTTACTGCAGTTCAGTATTGATTCAAGACTGGCCTCTGTCTCACAAATGCCTTTGGGAAAAAAATGGAGTGTTAATGTAACTGAACAGCAATCCATTTCTTAACTGTTATGTTTCAGAAATACAGAGAGTACACAGAGGTGTGGGGTTGTTTTTTTCCTTTCAATACAAATCCTATTCATCTGAAAATTGATTATAAGTGGGAGGAGTTAATGAAAACAGATCAGTGCATTGAGATACAGAATCTTTTAGGTTCTTCTTCTGTGGTTCAGCTTTTGCGGAAGTTACCAATGATTGAACATTATTCATCAAATATTTATAAAATTTCACCTACCTGAAATATGTTAAGAATCTTAATATTCAAACAATTGCACCTCATATAAAGCATTTACCACAAATAGCATATCCTTATGTCTTTGCTGATTTATGCAATGTACTTGCTACTGTCTCACATAGTAGTACACATAATACTACATAAATAGAACCTACATAAATATATATGATTCCCACATCAGAAAGCGAAAGTATTCTTCTACCATACGTCAAATGAAGAGCACCAAAAGTGAGTTTCATGTGTTTCATGTTATAAGGTTAGGGCAAAGTCATTCCAGAATTGGCGACCTACTGGCAAAGCTCTTCCAGTTCAAAACCTGCATAGTCTTCAGGTAATTTTGTCTTCAGTGATAACAGAGATGGAAAAACTTTTAACTTAAACACTTTGTTGCCTTTGTTAAATTATATGAACTTAAATTACATGAATAAACATTATCCTCTCAAATGTCTAAGGAGCAAAGTGAAAGAATTGAGGTATGTGAGAAAGTGGGATAAAATGAACCATAGACATAACACAGGAATAGATAGGCAGTTACTCTTAATAACAGCTGTAATCTCCAAAGGCCTTTGTGAGTAGCTGTGTGTTAATTACATGAGTCTGATAATGCAGACAGGGATTATAATTAAAACTATTTTTCCATTACAAGAGAATGGCTGACTGAAATACAGTTGAAATATACTGGCATTAGACAGTGACCTGCTATTATGCAGTGCTTTCTATGGCTATCTTGACTTATCTCATGAAAGGGATCCTCCCATAAGTATTGTGTTAATTGCTGTAAAACGGAAAAGACAGTCATCTACTCCAGGGTGTACAGCATGTTTTTAGTGTCATGATTCTAAAGTAAAATCTGAGATAAAAACATCTGAAGCATGGGTTTGTTGAAGAGCAGGAGTATAAAAAGTGTAATTACCAACCCCAATCTAAAACAAAATGTACATGTTTGCTAGGAAGAAAATTACTTCTAACAGCATTTAGGTATTCATCCTCCCAGAGTAATAAGAATTAACTTCATTTAAGCTTATGTAGTTTACTGATTCAAGCAGTAAACTATCCAGGTGGCCAATAGCTTCTGCCTAGATCAGTTCCACAAAATCACTAATTTAGAATCATGGAATGGTTTGCATTGGAAGGGATCTTAAAACTCATCTAGTTCCAACCCCCTGGCATAGGCAGGGACACCTTCCACTAGACCAAGCTGCTCAAAGCCCATCCAACCTGGCCTTAAACACTGCCAGGGATGGAGCAGCCACAGCTTCTCTGGGTAACCTGTGCCAGGGTCTCACCACCCTCATAGTGAAGAATTTTTTCCTAATGTCTAATCTAAATCAACACTTTTTCAGCTTAAAGCCATTATCAGCCACTTTCTGACATAAAACACTTGAATGACTGGCTTCTTCTAGAAGTAACTGCAGTAAAATAAACACAATTCAGTGAAGAGACAAAAATGGAAGTCATGGCAGTGATGTTCTTACACAGATAATTAAACTTTCCTATTCCCGTAAACAGTGCAGTGCACAGTGCTCATTCATGCTTAGTATAATTTCTCCACTACCATCAAACTGAAGGGAAGGTGTGCTATTATGAATTCTTTCAAGAGGAGAGCAAGACAGGACAGACGGCCATGACCTGTTTTGAAAACTGAGACATGAAGTCTTGGAGAAGACAGAAATTGATCTGCTTGATATCATTATCAGTGCATGGTACTATTAGGTACATGGAAATAATAGTCTGCAGACCCCATTGCTTCCTTTAAAAGAAAGTGTGGTTCAACAATGACCATCTCTAACAGATGACACTAGATTGATAGTCCAGAAAGCTCTAGTGGGCAAGACTTCACTCCTGTGTAAACAAAAATTTGGAGCAGCAAAGCTACAAGAGAATAGAGAGGCCATGAAGATCAGCGCAATTCATGCATCAAAGAGCTGTGAAAACAGATGTTCCCCTCTTCTTCTGAGGAACATTGTCAAAGCATTTACTTGAGCTTTTTTCTCAGTGTTCTACAACTCCAGAAGCTACCATTAAACTTGATGCTGTTAAACAATTCTTACACAAGTTTGGACATTTATATTACTTGTTTATATGGCATCACTACACGGCTTCTGAGATCACGAGAGGACATATGTGGGCCCTTCAACACTGCTGGATATAATCTATGTGCCAGCTGTGCCCTGTAATAGAAGCTAACCCTGGTGGAAGAAAGAAGTAGATAAAGTACAGTGAGAACGTAAATGGGAAAAAATTACTTTTCACCCCATTTAGAGCCACACACTGTGGCTGAGAAAAGAAGCAGTATTATTCATTATTTGTATCATAGCAACCAGCAGGAGCTCCTCTCAGGGCTTCACAGTACTGACTGCTGTACACTTCCATCACTTTTGGTTTTGATAGATTTTTAATGAAGTTTAAAATGTTAATTAGATTTACCATGTAACAGCCATGAAGACATATACCTTGTCAGAAGCAAATATTATTCTACTGCAATACTTTGGTGAGAATACTACAACAATAATACAAAAGTTCTATTTGCATTGCACTGAAACACAGAAAGCATTAACATACTTTTCAATACTCCTCGTTGCATTGCTGTACATGATAACTTAGAAGAGTTGCTGTTGATGTGTATAAAACTGTAAACCTTTTATTCACCTACTGATCCTCCTACATTCTCTCACAGTAACAGAAAAGCTTACTTTTTCAAGGACACTGTATTTTACAACTTGGGGCAAAAAAGAAGTATCAATAATTTTCACTGTAAAATCTGGAATGGAATCAGAGTAATTAAAATCACATATGCCCAGTAAATACTGTAATGTAATAGGCTGCAACATCATACTTAAGTTAGAACTAATAGAAGAAGAAAATTCTATTTTTCAGTGGCAAAATAACAGCAAAAAAGTTTTGAGAAATTAAATCCTTCCTGACTAAGCTATTGTACTAACAGGTCAAAATGTCTGCTGTGAACCTGATGATGAAGGGTAGATTTCAGTCTATATTCTTTAGAAAAACTATGGAAGAAACACAGTAAATGTATCTTCATTGGATAGTTACATGATTTTTTTATTAGCTTCATCAGCTACATGCATGTCTGAAGCTAATTCCTCCCTTATTCCTGACTTTCACTTCAGGATATATATGTGTCATCATATTCTTCAGCATCAGGATATTTAGACCAAGTTTAACTTCTAGTACATTCCCACAGAGTAACTAAATACCTACCCTATGACTGAACAGCAGTCTCTAAAAGTGAAAGCTGCATCTTGTTAATAGATTAAAGAGTGTTGGAACTGGTTTTGTTTCTTTAACTCGATAATTAGAAACAGTTGTAACAATACTGCTTCCTGATCAACTAAGAGCAGTCTCAATCTTGATTTTCAGCTCTCCCAAGAATTTTTATGGAAGAAAGAGATGCTCAGCACTCAATGAATTCATCTGGATTGCAAAAATCTGTGTGAACCAAGAAAAGAAAAAATTGTGATGATAAGCGGGGTTCCATTAGGAAAATCATAAAGCTTGAGCCATACTAATGCCTGCCAAAGCTTTGCATGCATTATGAAGCTGGACTGTAGGTGTACTCTGAGATGGAAAAATGTAAAATCAATTTCCACAGACAGAGCTGAATGTAAGAAAAAAAAAACCAACCAAAACCAGAAAATCTGCAATAAATTCATACACACAGAATGACAATATTTATGAGCTTGTTTATGAGCTTGCCATATTGCTAGACAGGGGAAGGAGAAAATAAATGTCACTTTCAGGTGGCAGAAGTAACAGGTATTATGCTTTCACTATTAAGTTAGATAATTCCCTCTCACTGGCATGTGAATACTTACATTGTTAAGGCATTAGCATGTTCCTCTGCATGCTTCAAGCTTCTGCCAACTCACATCCTCCCAGTTTCCAGGCACAGTCTGGGAGACAGAGCATCACCATGATCATTCGCATTAGGCAGACTGGATATGAGCACTCAGTCCTGAGGGCCAAGAGTTCACTCGTACAGGCACAGGCCAAGCCATGCTAGCTGGCCACAGTTCCTGCAAGCATTCCTAGGCATGTAATGTACCACTAGAGATTCAGCCCACTGATTGCACTAATATAATGTGCATATAATGGAAACAGCCTCTTTGATTTATCCATGTGCTTGTTCAACATATGTTCAAAATAAAACGCCATATTTAAATAAAAAGCTGCACTATCACAGATTTCTCACTCTACAACCATCTCTTCTTCACTCTCTAATCAAATGCTTACTTTAACAATAACATAACCAAAACCCAATTCAGTGATGCATTTCCTTATTCAGAGTTTCCCCTCTGACAGTGAAGGAAAAACAGCATGGCAGTTTCATCCAGGGAAAATATCTCCCTGGTTCTTTTGATGAGGGAGTATATTGCTGTTAATTTTTTATGTGACATTTCAGTACTAACAGAGCTAGATGCATTAAAAATGTAAAATGAATATTTCTGTTTAAATATTGAACAGAGCCATAATCTGTACAATTCTTATTTCTCTACATGAGGCAAGATTATCACTCTACAACACTTGTACCACTTGATATTTTCCTACTGAGACCTTTGAAATCTGGAACTTGTGATTAAGCACAAAATTACTCATCCTGGTTTTGGCTGGGGTAATTTTCCCCCCAGTAGAGAGGACAACCTGGTTGTCTGAGGACAACCCTAACTCTAAACACATCCTCTGGCATATGACAAAGATTTACAAAAAGGAGTAGTGTAGCAGTGGATATTGTAGAAGTGGAAGTGCTGGAGAGATAGGGAAGAGAGGGAAGTAGGGAGACTGCTTCTCTTCTCAGCACTGTCAACCTGAATTATCTGTAAAGCAACCTGAATGAAAATCATCTGTGTGTCACTTGTGACAAACCATGCTAAGATATGAGAGGCTGGGAAAGTTTTATTTAGACAGGAGTAGAATTTATAACAATAAAATATAAAAGCAGTGTCTAGTTAAAGAGATTGAAATGTATCATCAACGTATATTTGTTTTCCTAGATTCCTGTGAGTGCAAAATTATCTTAAAAACTCATGAGAATGACAGTTCTAGTGTAAATGAGAACACTATACAGAGCACTAAGGTCTTTATACAGCCTGTGAGTTCCTCAGCATGCCACAGGTTTTCTAGGGTTTCAGAGCCCTTCAGTGGTAAATGAGTGTTAAGTGTGAGCTAGAGAGCCTTATGACAGGGTGAGTACAGACAGAAGCCCGAACCACTGCCCCCAGGAAGCTTTTTTGAAGCACAGTGCCCAGTGCAGTTCTCTCTGAAAGGCATTCCGAGGGCACACCTCAAAACCACTCTGAGGAATTAATCATCAAAAGGCAGCTCTTGACAACTGAAAGATCTGGCTTAAAATTGCATTGCTGCTCCAAGCCAAACTGCTAATACAGACACACTGCTGATGCTACAGTAACTAGCATAAGGAGAACATATGCTTGTAAAACAAAATGTTCAGGTCATAAATTCTTTTTCACAACAATTCTTTCAATCCCAGTACACCCTGTCCTTATCTCATCCAGAGGGTTAGTATCGGTGTCACTGGTAAAGACTTTGGGTTTCCTCTATTTGTATTTCTGGGAAACCTACTTCATGGTGTAAATTTTCCACAATGACTTAAGGCTAAATAATTTTGTGAGATAACTGCACAAAACTGACGCTTTAGAATACTTGGGCTCTCCAATTCAACCTGGACTCACAGGATGAGGCAGAACAAATAAGAAATTGCTTGTTTGAAAGTAAAATTAATGTGAAAGGAAAGCAGTTTTTATGTTAGCCAAAAATGTCTGATTTTAAGTGGCCTCTCTTGAAGAGGCTATTCAGAGCAAAAATTAACTTTCTCCAACTTAATGAGAGCTCCCACATACTGAAAATTCTAATTAAGCTTCTGTTTTCCTACTTCTATAAATAGACAACACCTACATTAAAGATTGCAAAAAAAGAAAGCTGATGCTGTTTGAACTACTTGCATTTATTTACCATGTCACATTTTCCCGCATCATGTATAAGCAAATGAGGAAACATTTATTAGAACAGTTTCTTAACTAGTTTCCTAGGACAAAAAATCCCCAAATACGCCAACAACATGGAAAATCAACACTATCAGACAAAATTTTATACACATCTATACAATTTAATCTCAGAAAAGTACTCTATATGAAGGGCCCAAATCATCTACTGCACTATATACCTGAAAGAACTGGCAACTGGTAATATGTACATTTAGGTTGGGCAGATGGCAGATCAAAGGGCACATGATCTCCTTATATACATCTATTTTGTGGCTCTTTTTTTATTTTATTTTTTCTTTTATTGCTTAGCAGTGCTTTTGTCACAAAACTATTCACTGCTCACAGAAAACCCCCCTACTCTCTGTTATTAACTAAGAGGTTTTCATGAGGTACTACATTATCTAAGGTAATTAAAATCTTTCACAATGCAGCCTTGTTATAACTTGGCTTTGTGGGAAAATTTGCTTTGTGATGCTTTTATCAACTTTATTTTGAAGCTTGTCACAAACAAGATAGATTAATTTGAGGCTTATATAATGGCAAATGTGCCACTGCCAAAAACTTCCTTTAATAACCATAGTATAGAACTGGTCACTGCTTTCCTCTTCACTAGAGCTCTGTGGGTACCAGTTTCCCCAATATATTCTCTAAAGCAGACTCTGGATACTGCTGAAGTATCACCAGAAACTGTCTCATCAGGAAATAATGAACTCCATTTGCACAGCCAAACCAAAAAGTTTATTAGAAGGCAATGAAATACATACAACCAAATGCAAGCATCAGCCTGGTTATTCAACTTATCTCTTCTGGGAAACACCAGAAGCAACTGAAATTGGTAGCTGCATCCAATGCAAAATTCCACAGAAGTATTTTATGTTACATTTATTTACGAAAATTGAGCTGCTAAGAACTGAGAAAAAAATTATTGTGAGGACTGATCTGTAAATAAACTATAGGTCAGCCAGTAAGCACAGAAGGAATGCATAAGCTTGAAGGATTCATTTCCTCCAAGTCTGTCTACAAAGACAACCCTCCCCTTCTCTGTTCCCAGCACAAGAGGTTTCAAATGACCCCTGATCATCTTTAGGTGGTTCTGAGGGAGCCAAATGGTTTACACTCACCTGCTCAGTCATCTGCCCTCCCTGGAGGATCTTCCTGCTTCTCCAACAGTGTGAGGTATAACTGGAGAGAGAGACTGGCTGTTGTAGGCAGGAAGAGCTAGGACACACTAGTAGCTCCTTGTAAAATGCCCGAAGGGACAGAGACTCTGCTAAATAAATAAGCCAAGCAAAGTGTAGTCTCCTGCAGCATAAGGGGCAGTAATCCTTGATGCACTTGGCAGGAGAAGGAAATTTTCATTGCTAAAGCACAACTTGACTTTCAAATATTTGTCAGAGAGCAAGAAATTTAGTTAAAACTTGTTCAAAGTCTGTCCCCAGCAGCTCGTCTCTCTCTTGAGTGAAGATTTTATTTTAGTTCATTATTGATGAATGCTACCACTGAGCAGTAGCCTATCTTCTATCTCCCTTGACAAATAAACTTCTCAAGGAATTTTAGCAGTGTTTGGCTTTATTCTTTTTGAATGGAAACATTTCCAATGTTCAGAATCAGCATGAAAAACGATTGTATTTAGTGTTGAGAATTAACTGCTGAAAACCACTTTTATAACTGGAATACTGTGTTGTTGCAGCACCAAATAAGGAAGGTATGCAAAGTGGAACTGCTGACAATTACCACTGGTTTAAGTTTAACAATTTTAATTTATGTTGTTGGTGATCCGTAAGGCCCCAGTAGCCTTAAAAGGGTTTCACACAAGCACATGAGCTTGTACTTCATGACTAAGCCACAAATCCAACACCATTGTTAGCAATGGATTATAGTTTTTGGCACAGAGAAGAAGCCAACATTAAGATTTCATAATCCAACAGTAGACCATGAGTAAGCCGAAGTCCTGTAAGGCCTTCAGAGTGCAAGTAAACTGAAAAAAACACCTCTACTGTATTGGGTCTTGAGGGAGCCAGCGGATGAAGTGGCCAAGCACTATCCATCATATTTGAGAAGTCATGGCAGTCCATTGAAGTCCCCACTGACTGGAAAAGGGGAAACATACCCCACAGTTTTAAAAAGAGAAAAAAGGAAGATCCAGGGAACTAGAGGCCAGTCAGTCTCACCTCGGTGCCTGCCAAGATCATGCAACAGATCCTCCTGGAAACTATGCTAAGGCACATGGACAATAAGGGGGTGATTGGTGACAGTCAGCATGGCTTCACTAAAGGCAAATCGTGCCTGACAAATTTGGTGGCCTTCTGCAATGGGGTTATGGTGTTGGTGGATAATGGAAGAATGACTGACATCATGTATCTAGACTTGTACAAAACCTTAGACAGAGTCCCGCATGGCATCCTTGTCTCTAAACTGGAGAGACATGGATTTGACGGGTGGACCACTTGGTGGATAAGGAATTGGCTGGATGGTCACACAAAGGGGGTAGGAATAGATGAACTTTAAGGTCCGTTCTATGATTCTGTGATTTTCCTACTGAAGATGCCAAAGGGTGCTTTAAAAAAAGCATCACTACAAATCCTTCTATTTTCTAGCACAGTAGCTTATCACTGTTAATGCAGAATCCAGTGTGAAGACGATTGTGTAGACAATATATTCACAACAGGCAAAACCAAAGTGCTGGGAAGATGATGCCAAGTTCAGGAGAAAGAGCCCTGTGGAACAATTACACAGTAATGCTGAGAATTGAAACACGCACCAGGCAATGAGAGGTCTGCCCTGGGTTTACACAATCTAGAGCTCGGTTTTGTACCTGCCCACAACAACTGCAAGAACGGGTCACTGCCTGTGTGATGCTCTGCCACTTACTGGAGTTCAGAAGAAAACACTGATTTTGCTCAGTAAGATAGAGCATGCCTAAAGCACGAAATGTCAGAAAGCCAGGGGGTGCTTTTTGCCCATTTATCTTCCCTTTCCTCCCTGACTACAGCTATTTAACCATTAAAAGGGTCTCGCGGGCGGCTCGCTAGACACGACCCCGGGACACCCGCTGAACACCACTGCCGTTTGCGGCCTCCTGGAGACGCTGCCTGATAAGAACCTCCAGCTCCCAAAGAGGCCACCAGCAGGGAGGACCCAGGAGCCGCCTTCACCTGCCGGCCGTGCCCAGGCCCAGCAGCCTGAAAAGATCCCCGCCGCTGTTCCCGCCCCACACAGCCCGGCAGGACCGAAGCGGCACTGGTGACTGCGGACGCGGAGCTGTCGATGTCCATCAACGGCTCTTTCGCCGCGGAGGCTCTCGGGAGCTGTAGTCCGAGCGCCGATGTACCGCCATGCGGCTGGGCGGGAAGGTAGCGGTTCGGGACTACAAATCCCAGCATGCTCAGCGCCGGGGCGGTGTCCAGCCTATGGCGGCGGGAGGCTGAGCTATGGCGGCAGGTTTGTAATAGAAGAAGGTGGGTGGCCGGCAGCTCGGAATGGGATTGTGGCTTGAGGAGCGGTGTTGGTACCTCCGCCCCAGAGCCCGTGAGGGGCCGCGGGTGGGAGCTGTTGCGGTGCGGGTGCTGTGGGGCTGGGAGAG